GCTGGAAGGAAATACTAAAGGATGATAAAACCGATTTTTATGGTTACCGCTTTTCACAACCTATAAAGCCCGGCGACAGTATTGTACTCAGTTATGATTTTGATTACGCACCCAAAGGCTTTACGGATGGCGGGGCTGGCAGCATCGTTAATGAGAACGGGACCTTTATCAACAACACGGTGTTTTTCCCGGTCATCGGCTATAATGCAGCCGGAGAGCTGGATGGAAATGTGCTGCGTAAAAAATACAATCTTCCTTCAAAGCCCTATGCCCTGGCACAAACCGACCCGGTAGGCTTGCAACAAAATATGCTGGGACAAGGTGCCGACCGCATTCATCTGCAACTAACCATTGGTACCACAACCGGCCAGACAGCTATTGCGCCGGGTTACCTGCTAAAAAAGTGGGAACAGGATGGACGCTCTTATTTCGAGTACCAGATGGATCAGCCGGCCGTCAATTATTTCTCCATTCAATCGGGCAGATACCAGGTACTTAGAGAATCGTTTCAACCGGATAGTGCGCAACAACCGGTGCAGCTCAGCGTGTACTACCATAAAGACCATGCTTATAATATTGGTCTGATGATGACGGGGATGAAAGATGCACTCTCCTACTTCGGCAGCAATTTCAGCCCTTACCAATATCGCCAGTTGCGCATTATTGAATTTCCAAGCTCTTCATTTGCACAAAGCTTTGCCAATACAATTCCCTTCTCCGAAAACATCGGTTTCCTGGCCGACTTAAGAGATACGACTGCCAGCAAGCTGAGCCGCAGCCCTGTGGACTATGTCTATTATGTAACGGCACATGAGGTAGCGCATCAATGGTGGGCCCACCAGATACTCCCCGCCAATACCGAAGGCGCCAACTTTCTGTGTGAGACCATGGCTCAGTACAGTGCTCTGATGCTGATGAAACATAAATACGGAGAACAACGCGTACGTCAGTTCCTGGAAATGGAATCCTATAATTACCTTTCCGGGCGTGGCAGCGAATCGAAAGAAGAGCGGCCGCTGGCAAATGTGCTCATGGAGCAGCAGTATATATTTTACAACAAAGGCGCCTGCGCTATGTATGCTTTGCAACATTACCTTGGTGAAGAGCGTATGAACCAGGTGATCAAAGAATATATCCGCGACAATGCTTTCCGCGAGCGACCTTATGTGACCGCCAATGATTTTGTCAGCCGTATTAAAAATGCAGCTCCCGACTCTATGAAATACCTGGTCAGCG